TAAACCACTCCCGGGAACCCCTTCTAGGCCCTAAAACCCCGAATTGATGCTAGAATGCCTCAATACTTAAACGGAAAGCATAAAATGATTAATTTATTGTAAAACACATATTTTCATATGAAATTAGGGTCCTAAAGGTGTACAAGTCATTATTTGGAACAAAACGCTCAACCGACACTTTTACCCGATTTACCCGATTCACCCGATTTACGCGATTTCAGGTGAGTTCATACCCCTTTAATGAACCTTTCAAATGTTTTAGATGTTTTAAGGGGGGGGGGGATACAAGTTGAATATACATGTTTATGAAAAGTTATACTAGACAATTTTTCATATTACAGACTTAATCACATGTGATTCACAACCTGTAGTTCAAATCACATGTGATTTATCACTATGCTTTATAAATAAATCAATTGTTTTCAAAACTATCTTTGATAAACAAACAAGCTTTAAATGTTTCTTTTGTACAACACTTTTGTTTAACAAAACTCCTTATAAAAATGTAACCACACTAATATATTTATATAAGTAAGACTTGAAGGACTTAGGACCGATAGCTCGCCTTATTTCCTGTTTCTTGTTTGATTGTGGGCTTAGGGTAGTGGTTATCCGTCCGACTGTCATTGATTTCTTAGTTATATATTTCGTATATCAGTGCGGATTACGAGTACTTCTTATTTCATTGGATGCCTAAATCACTAAGCTGATTAGAACCATACACACTAATTTAACTATAATAGGTATAGTTAAGGACTCTATTCCTTGTTTTAACTACTACTCTACACTACTATAATTCTCTCTATTATGAAGCAATACACTAATAAGAGAATACAACACAAGTTATTCAAAAGACTACTACACTATAATACAAGAGAATGTACTAATCATGAAATAATTCATTAATCCACTACGAGATACTCTATACGCTACACACTACGCCCTAAGTTTTCCGAGAGGAAGACGACACTATATGTATAGATCTATACAGGGCAGACACTATTACATCCCGACTGATAATTTCAGTCCGAGCCGCTCAGGTCCAGGGATGCCTGTACTCTACTACATTATGCATGACAGGGAATGTCATGGTGGTCCGCTATTACTCACACTATTGGTAACATACAAGAAAAACACTATAACCGCACTAAAATACTAAAAGAAAGATGAAGTAATATCCCGAAGTAAATAAGTATCAAATACTAAAAGATGCTGCACCACTATTATGTACTCTAAGAATAACTCACTATATTGCCTTACTTAATGGTGAGACACTATTACACTTCTACAATAAATGACTTTCAAAGATAGAATCAACATATTCCTTAAAGATTTTCATTTACTATACAGTTCTGGAAAATATAGGATTTTCTAGGTTTTACTATTACTTATGATTACAAACTTCAGTTTACATACTAATGATTTAAATGCTTTTTATACAAGAACTCACACTAAACTCTTATGAACTCACCAGCTTTATGCTGATATTCTTTTTCAAAATAACTTGTATCTTCAGGTCAAAGATAGACAGGTACAGCTGCAACATTTTTGGAGAAGATGGAGTATGCAAAACCCATCTCTTATTTTTGTTTACTTTGGTGTTTGTCAAACATTACAAAACACACTGTAAATACACTTACTATGTAAATGAAATGGTTGCATGTTTCTTGCTTTTACTATTATACAAATGTGATGATATTGTACACTACGTCATCCACCCCGAAACGTATTCCGCCATTATCGGTTTTGGGGTGTGACAGAATCCTCTAGACTCCTTGCAGGAATGGTCTTTTTAAATTGAATCGTCTAGACTGCTTTACAGTAACGATCTTGCCTTCTTTATAATCCCAGTAGCTGGTTCTTGTCTTCTTGATTAGAAATTGGCCTTCTGTTCATTCTTTTAAAAGTTCTCTATGTTATTTATTATATATTTACTTCAGTTGTCCAATCTCAGATTACGTAGTTCCCGCTTTGGTTGAAGCTTTGCATAAGGTAATCTTAATTTTTTTTATATCTTGTTTATAGATTAATTCATTCAAAGTGGTTTAGGGTTTACTGAATTGTCTCAATGATGTTTTTGCAGACGGAAATGTGTGCAAGAATGCTGGGTGCTTTAAACAAGTGTATACAAGTTGAATGACTTACTTCTTTTTTTTTCTTCTTCTTTTAATTTTAAATATTGAACATGTTTTGTCTTTTTGACCATGGTTTTAGGTATCAGGAACGCTTCTAGATGAAAACCAGGTGAGAGGCAAAATTGTTCATTTATTTAATGTGGTTCTAGTGTTTGCAATAATGTACTGGTTTAGTAGCATATTGCCAAAAAATATGGTGCATAAAATCTTTATTTTGGTTTCAAACTCCTTCGAAAAGCTTCTTACAAATGTAGATTTACTGATGAGGTACTTATTTTATCAGGGATATATAGAGTTTTCTTTTGCATAAGTTTTTTTTCTTTGTTTTAGGTGATCATTGGATGAAATATGATTCTAATTTTACTCATGAACATACATAGAATGTCATTGTGCACAATCTAAGTAATATTTATGGTTATGAATTCAGTTCTAGTAATCAGTAGATTGCTTAGTTTTCATTTAAGGGTATCATATTTATGAGCTCCCAAAAAAATTGATGTTCAACAAATATTTAATGTTAGGTTGTTGCCCTTGTGTTAATTATTTTCTGTAAAGTTTGTTAACCACAACAAAGGTGTTTACTACTACAACATCAAAGCCGGAGTTTGTTTTGTTTGTTTTTGTTGAATACTCTAGTTCTTGTTCTATGTTCGTTTAATGATGTGTTTGTTATACATATTGGAGATAAATGCAATGTAACAATGTCTTTGGCTCTTTGCCATTTTTGAATGGTTTAGATGAAAAAGTGAAGATTTGTTGGTTGCTTTAAAAAATTGGTTTTGTAATACATTTGGGTGGTTGAATGAAATTGTCTTATAAAAATAATAAAAATATTACATGAAAATTTTTAACTTTATTTGAAAATTTTCAAAAATTTATTAGTTTTAAGACCTATTTTTACTAAATTGAACAAGGCCTTCAAAATCTCGGGACCGGCCCTGCATACAAGGCATCAATATAAAAGAAACCAACCAATGCTCTGATACTACTAGTGGGTTTTACACAAAATAAAATCCTATGTGTTCATGCAAACCCTAAAGCTTGGATCTAGGTTTCTCTATTGTACATGCAATTCATCCAAGACTTTCTAACCCTAGATCTAGCATATGATATTCAAAATTAACAAAATAAACAGATCTAGATGTTTACCTTGTTGTTGATTGAAGATCTTGAAGCCTTGAGAACCTTAGCACCTCAAATGTTGTGCCTCTAATGAATCACAAACACCAAGAGCAATTGAAGGAAGTAAGAGAGAGAGAGAGAGAGAGAGAGGGGAGATGTGAAATTCGGATATAGGACTTCTAGGGTTTTAAGTGGCCGAATTTCCCATGCCCAAGGGGTCTTTATATAGGTGTAGGAATTATGGTTTCAATCATTATCCTTATTTGGTTACTTAGCCACCAAGCAACCCATAAGATAGTTCTAAAATCCCTATCATGGACGAATTCTTAAGGCTATGAATCTTCGATAATAACCTACAAACCCTAAGAATTGACACACATTCATTGGAGTCTTTAGTGCTTCCCAATCCTTAATTACATCTATCCTAGAGGGATCTACATGTGATAACGTATCCCACTAGGAATACGTCAAACATAACAGAATCGTTAGTCTGGTAGACAGTTTGGGCAAAGGATGACGTATGTCTAACGCTGCGTCCTTTCCCTCATCCTCGCCATCTCGATTCCGTATTCTTTCCTTGGCGCCCAAGAGCCAAGGTCAACATCAGGATAAAATAGTACCAATTTCCTCCCATAGTGGCAGATGTAGCGCTCAGGGTGTCGCTCTTGGAAAACCTGCAGCTACATCAAGCAGCTACTCACGGAGCATGATCTACCAATCAAAGGCCACTACCCTTGCCAAACCTGAAAAGGTAGAAAATACTGTCGTGGATCAATCCCCCTGACCATATGTATAAAAAGTTCCATTCTCCTCCAAGAGAACAGATCGAAAAAACACGACCCTTCTTACCCAACATCTCCTCACCTTCTCTCTAAGAAACCAACTAACTTAATCGTCGGATCCTCGTTCCGAGACTGCCTCCCGGACAACGACTGACGATCTTGTTTTCTTTGTTGTGATTCTCAGGCCTTTCGTTCCATTCTTCAAAGAGACAGAGTTAAGCCGGAGACATATCACAACAGTTGGCGCCATCTGGACGTGCACCCAGTACACCATAACCTACTTCGCAACACCAGACGCCAGAAATGACGGATAACGGATCGATACGACAGGAAGGTGACGACATTAGCCCGGTTAGAGCAATGCAGTCCCTCGACAGAAGCAAGCCTTCGACACTGGAAGGGCAGCTGCTCACACAGACACCGATGACGCTGCCAGTCGGCTCCACGACGGAGTTCATTGCAAGTCTATGGCGACCGCCGCCCGTCGCAATGGAACATCTAGCCACGACTACCACCACAGCGCCTCAAAGAGTGTCGACCACCCAATCACAACAAAACAACAAATCGACCACATCCATAGGCGCGACAGGTAGGGACCAACGCTTGGTCCCCTGACGCCATTCTATCAACCGCACCAACTGCAGGCCACCAGTCTTCCCCGGTAGCCGCCATGTCGCATATCCCGCTAAGTGCACAGCAACAACCGTTCAACACATATTCAAACCACTACCAAGGCGTGTACCCTTAAACACAGCCACAAACCCACAACATTCAAAACACGTTAACACAGGGGATGAATGCACACACTACGGGGCTAACGGAGTCAAGTTCACAGCCGAATCAGCTAACACACACATACCCCATGCATGCATCGTATATGCCTCAAGCGACCATGTAGAACCACGGGTACCATTACGAGTATGGCCAATGGTACAACAACCCATACCATGTACAGTAGGCGATGGTTAGCAGAGCACCCAACTACCAACATATGAACAACCCCGTAACAAGTAGTAGCTCGGCGTTCTATCAAGAGTTATTACAATATGAAATACCACATTCTGCCATGATACAAAACATCCCAAAGTATGACGGCACGACAGATCCTGACGAACACATGGACACCTACGAGTGGATAATGACACCCTTTCGGATGGACAAGAGATTCACATGTACCTACTTCCCAGTCACACTATCGGGAAATGCTAGCAAATGGTTCAAGACACTACATCCGGGAAGTATCTCCAGCTTCGAACAGTTGAGGTACCTTTTCCTCTGCAACTTCATGTAATTGAGGAAAGTCAGAAGAGACGACAACTCTATCATGACATGCAAACAAAAACATGATGTAACATAATAATCATTAATCTAAACTTAAAAAACATTGCATATATTTTCAAACCATTTTATATCTTAATTAAATTAACGATTATACAATTAAACAAAACATCTAATTTTGCATAAAAATTATTGTTGCAAAGATTAATTACAATTTATAAAGTTTAAATATGAAAAAATTATTGTTGCAAAGATTAATGAGTACATTTTTTAAAGTTTAAATATGATTATAGTTTGTCAACCGTAACCTAATTAGGACAGTATAAATAAATTAAACAGTCGAATACAAAATAAAATTTCCATCTAATTCAAGTCTTTCATTAATATATACAGTTATTAACGGCGAAGACAGTTGTGATGATCTTAAAAGTAGGAGGGCTTAATTGAAAACACCCCACACATTATCTTTTTTATTTCGATTTCGTAGGCGGTCAATTCTCATAAGAAATCAGAGGGAACTAGCGGAATCCATGGAAGCCATAGCTAAGAACTTCATCATCTACGTATCGTCGATCACAGTATCTCTATCCTACTGCTATTTCGTATCTTCTAAGATCCCTAAAGGTATTTGCAGATTCATCTCTCTCATACCTATCTTCTGCATCTTCACGATCCTTCCTCTTCGTTGCATATATGTCTTCACTACCGCCATCTGCTTCTCCTTCACTACCTGGCTTATGAACTTCAAGCTCATCCGATTCGCTTTCGATCTCGATGAATCGCCATATCGCCGTTCCGATTCGCTTATCCGTTTCATCACCGTCGCTTCTTTACCGGTCAAAACCAAAAGTACAGATTCCACCTCCGTCAATACGTCACCAGAGAGATCTTGGTACAAATTAGGGTTGCAGAATCTGATTTTCTCCATACTTGTAAGTACAGTGAATAATTACAGAGATCGATTTCATCCGGATATTATATTAGTAATCTACTGTGGCCTACTTTTCCTGATAATCGACATCATTGCTGGCGTCGGCGCCGCTCTGCTCCTGTTTTTGACCGGATTAGAGCTCGAACCTTCGTCCAATGAACCTTACCTCGCTACATCGCTGCAAAATTTTTGGGGAAGATGGAACCTCTTGGTAACAAAAACGCTGCGCTATACCGTATACAAACCCGTCAGGTCAGCTTTTTCCGATCATAAATGGGCCCCACACGCCGGCGTATTATCGTCGTTTTTCGTTTCAGGATTAATGCATGAGCTGTTCGTTTACCAATTGTCACGTGAGGATCCCACGTGGGAGATGACGTCATTCTTCGTTATCCATGGAATCTGCGTTGTGGTGGAGATGATTATCAAGAGCAATCTGGCTGGTGGTCGTTGGCGTTTGCCGAAGTTCCTAGCGACGCTGTTGACCGTGGGGTTTGTGGTGGTCACCGGTTTATGGCTGTTCTTTCCGCCGTTGATCAGAACTAAGGTAGACGTGAAAGTCCTTATGGAGCACGCCTCCTTTGTAGATTTCATAAAGACAACTTTCTATTCAATGACTCAAAAATCACAAATTCATGTATGATACATAAATTATTACGTTAATTGAAGAAAAAACTCAGATATGTCTTTTCATCATTTTTAACAATCCTTTTATCATATTTTACTACGGATTAGACAGATCTATTATATGACTATCAACTAGTATCAACTAGTTTATAACATATGGAAACATAATTATATAATTAATTAAACTTTTAATTATATAATTAATTAAACTTTTAAAGTAAAAATTAAAAATAATTAATTAATTATTTTAAATAAATTATTAATTAAGAGATTTTTTTAATTATATAAATTTTAATCATTGATTTAAATAAATATGTGAAATTATATCACTATATAATTTGTATTAATTTTATTTTAATCTTTATTCTAACATTATTAATTTAATTTAATTAGAGTGGGAAATTTAAAATTTAAAATTTGAAATAAAAAATCAATAAATTTACAAATGGCATGTATTAATTGGGAGATAAAATATTGCGACACATGACAAAAAGAGAATAAAATGTGTACTAATTAGGAGACCTAATAAGATGATACATGTCAAAAGAAGAATAAACTATTAAGTCCGAGCTTTATCCCATAACGATTTATAAGACAAAAAAAATAATATATTAATTATTAATTGAAATGTTTATTTATTTTTTAAATTTGAACTAATAATTTTAATAAATTAAAATAATTTGATTCAATTTAAAAATTTGTAAATCATAAGAAAAGTTGTGTTAATGAATTAAATAACACTTTGCTTCAAGGTAGGTCTTAGGACCTACCTATTTTTCTTAATAATAATACAAAGTATATATGCAAAATAATAGGGACCTATCTTATTAGTTTTAAAGGACCTACCTTAATGCATTATAATCTTTGGCAATATATATATATATATATATATATATATATATATATATATATATATATATATATATATATATATATATATATATATATATATATATATATATATATATATATATCGGCCTATATTTTATGGAATAAGCTAATGCATCAATTCACTTTAAATTTATTCATTAGACAATAACCCAATCCAATTTAAACTAAACAAAAAAAGAAAAGAAGCCTAATGAAACGTTGCCCGAAGAATGTGATCAATGATCGACATCTCAAAACGATGGACGCCTCATCACGTTCTCACTAGCCTGATCGAAAGTGGCGAATTTAGACCAAAAAATCATGTGGTTCCCAAATTAAGTGAAGTCAATAAAAAAATTCAACAACACTTGTGTGGGGTTGGATCGGGTCGGGTTACGTACCTTAAAAAACTGGACCAATCAATTCAGCTTGTTAAAACCGATTAGACACCACCAATTAAATTTTTTAACAAAACGATTGAAATATAAACGAAAAAAGTGGTACGTTTTTAATGAAAAACTAGTTGATTATTAGTTCATTGATAAAACAGTGAACGGAGAGTGAGAGTCTTTAGCATGTGGGCTTCTTTTTATTACAACAATTTATTTATTTATTGGTATTTTGAGAGTACCGATTAAGAGTGGTTAATTTTTTGTTATCAATCCAATAATTTAAATAACAAATTGACCCTAATAATTTATTTTTTTCTTCTTTTAAAATGATTTTTAAGATATTTTTTTAAAAAACAAACTCAAGGTAGGTCATTAATTTTTTCTAAGATAGTTCTTAATTTTTCTTCAATATATATTATAAATGAAATTGAAAGTTTAGGTAGCTCCTAAGACCTACTTTTGGACATACTAGATATGCCCTTGCTGATCGATCCACCTTCGGTCGTCCATACGACTTGACCCGCCACCACTAATATGTTTTACTCTTTTTTCATTTTATTTATGTAAGGAACCATATGGCTTGTAGTTCTAGATTCGTCATTGTATACCCACCACTAACCACTATAGTGGTGGATGTCACATAATCACCACTAACTACCACTAAAATTTTGGGATACTTACCATTATATCCCTCTTATTTTTTGATTATTAAAATAAGAAAAATATTTTTTTAATTAATTAAATTGTAGAGATAGGTGGAGAAAGGTATAGAGAGGTTGAGAGAAACAGAGAGGCAAATTTATTGGCTGTGGTGTTTCGTGCTCTCCACCACAAATGACCACAAAATAGTTCAATCACTAACACCTTGGGATGGTCTTCGCATTAGTGGTTAGTAGCCATGTAGACCACTAACCCTCTTGTGATGACCATACCAGATGGTCTGAAATTTAATAAAATGGAAAAAAAAAAACCACAAAATGATATATTCGTTTAATTTAATCTAAATTTATCATAAAATAACATTTATCATAATACATAAAAAGATGACAAGTAGCAAAATATTTTCATTTATTAAAGTTATTTTCATTTATTAAAAAAGATATATAACTAAATGTATGAATTGATAAATATCATACATAAAATAGTTAAATTTTAAATGATAAATAAAACATTAACTTATAGAATAATCGACAATTATATCTAACTAGTTTTATTTTATAGAATAATTATGTTATAATAAATTAATAACAAACTATAACTTTGGATTTATAAAAAAAAAAATCATATTCATAAACGTTTAAGGGTATGTTACTTTCCCGTAAGCATTACAATGTGTTTAAAATTGTCGGGTGCTTAAGATTAGCTCCGACATTATCATAACCCCTTGCCGACATGTAGACCAAATTGTATTATGCGCATTTCGTTGCTTTTTTTTTTTTTAATTTTTAATTTTTTTTTTTTTAAAGTAGTAACTAGGTTTATATAAGTTCATTTTAATGAAAAAAAATATGAAATTCTAAAGATTTAAGAAGTTTGAGTTTATAAGAAAAAAATAAAAAAAATATTAAATTATTAAAATTAAATTGTTTGTTTTCTTTTAAATTAAATAAATAATTTAGATAAATAAACAAACGAAACTAATAAAACTTTAATTTTGAAATTAAAAGAAAGTCAATTAATGAAATCAGCATTCATTTATTATTATATTTATTGCAATTATTACATTTAAATGTTATGTGAAAATTAATAAAATCAAAAAAAGCCACAAAATGTAATGTAGAAAAAAATTAATTGAAAATAACTACAAAATGACATGTAACCAAATAAATGAGAATGTGACATTTGTTAAAAAGTTTTTTATTTATTAGGGATGATTGTAAATTTTTAAAGACAAAATTGCAAAAATGATCCCTGTGGTATGCATTTTTTTGGGGTTTCAGTCCAAACCTTAACTTTTTTGGATTCATGGTCCTTTTGGCTTAGTTTGTACGCAAAATTGGTCCCCCGACTTAACTGTCGTTAAGTTTTTGCTATTAACATCCTCATGTGCATCTCACATAAGGGTATATTTATCTTTTCACTTCTAAAGGACTATTTTTGCACCTTTAAAAAAGTAATATCTTTTTATTTATTTTTATAATGAAAAAATAAAAGATATATATATATATATATATATATATATTCTCTCTCTCTCTCTCTCTCTCTCTCTCTCTCTCTCTCTCTCTCCACAATTAGGAATCGATCTCATAATCCAGCTTCATTTCTTCACCGCTTCAGCTAGCTCAAACCACATCACCTGCGAACACTCATAGAAGTTCAATCAATCAAAAAGCCAATATGAAGAAATTACACTCAGCCTTCAGATTCTACGAAAACTCCCTACATTTGAAGCTTTGAATACTTTAAATTCGGTCAAGGGTTTTTCATATAAACAACTTTGCCCTCTGTTACCCATATGCATTTACGCTCCATCTTCTTCCTTAACCAGTCGTTGAAACGAGACCATCGACCATCACATTCTTCAGCCACCTCTTCCCCCACTCAAGCACTTCGTACGCCGTTCCACCAACGTCGATGTTGTCGGATTCATCCTCCACGTCGTCGTCTTCCTCAGGTGGGTTCTTTATTTTAACAACAATATGTTGGTTATCGATTGGGTTAATTTCACAAAATCAAAATTGATTTCTACTTTGCTGATTGTTATCGATTGATTGTCAATTTGTTCTCATTCTATTGATTTCTTCTGATTCTTCTAAATTGAGGGTTCGATCCTTGATAAACTTTTGATTCGGTTGCCTTTTTCTCTGCTTTGAAGAACAAAGTGAATGTTCATAGAGTGTTTGCTCTTCGTGAAGCATTCATGTTGTTCGATTTTGAGGATGAGAGTGTATAGGACTTGAAATTAATGCTCATCAAATGCTTAATATCCCCATTGTATTTGAAAATGGGTCAAGAAAGATTATTTTTAACATTCTTATTTAGGTTATCTAGACAACTTGTGAAGGTATCACTAGCAATGATTAGGTCTCAAATTCCTTTCGGGAGGAAGTCGATGTTGGAGGCATATGTTAACATCGTTTTTAGGGTTTGGAAGGCTGCAAATGGGGAGACAAGAGAGGAGATAAGTTGGAGGCATATGCAGGCATTGGTTGATAGCTCAACTCATGAGTAAGGTTATTGAGATAAGTTTTGCTTCGTGATTGAAATTGGATTGCACATGGTCTTCTAGTAGATACTTCAAAGTGAAGTTGATAGTGGGCATGGTGTTTAGTTTTGAACTTAGGCAACTAAGAAATCTTTATGCAGACGTTTTATGTAAACATAAGCACTATTACATCTCCTTGTATATGAATGTGAAAATTGATTTGTATATGAAGAGGAGGGATAACATCATAATGTCATCTGGGTCTGTGTGCTTTTGAGAGAGAGAGAGAGAGAGAGAGAGAGAGAGAGATCTTTTATTTTTTCATTATTAAAATAAATAAAAAAGTATTACTTTTTTAAAAAAATTAGGTGGAAAAATGGTCATTTAGAAATGAAAAGACAAATATACCCTCATGTGAGATGCACATGAGGAGGTTAACAGCAAAAACTTAACGACAGTTAAGTCGGGGGGACCAATTTTGCGTACAAACTAGGCCAAAAGGATCATAAATCCAAAAAAAATCGAGGTTTGGACTGAAACCCCAAAAAAATGCATACCACAGGAACCATTTTTGCAATTTTGTCCTTTTTAAAAAAGGTAGATTGAATA